GCTTCTCATTTCTGCTTGGATCTGCTCTTACAAACCAAATCATGTCAGAGAAGAAAGAAATTACAGCTTCCAAGCCCAGAGCAGAGCTAACCTTATTCAATTAAGATGCAGTGCCCCACCCATGAGGCAAATGAAATATTACAGCAAGGCTGTGTCGACACAAGAAAGCTTCTTCAATGTTTCCAGTCTGACCTTTTATTAGCTATGGTTTCTTCACAAGTGACATTGCCTAATAAAAGCTGCTGACAAAGAGAGACTGCTCTTCAGCTCATAGTATACCAACTACCTAATGGGGTCAAGGATATGAAAAACATAAAAAGTCTCTCAACTGAAGCTCAGATTTGCCCAGCACAAGCCAGGAACCGCTAGAAAAATGTGATCATACATGTGACTGTCAGCTCCAGTGTGTAAACTAAAATGCACACACAGTGGGTTCCAAAGAGGATGGTTCTAGACTATTCTCAGTGGTAGAAGAGGACAGGACAAGGAGTAATGGTCTCAAGTTGCAGTGGGGGAGGTTTAAGTTGGATATTAGAAAAAACTTTTTTACTAGGAGGGTGGTGAAACACTGGAATGCGTTACCTAGGGAGGTGGCAGAATCTCCTTCCTTAGAAGTTTTTAAGGTCAGGCTTGACAAAGCCCTGGCTGGAATGATTTAATTGGGGATTGGTCCTGCTTTGAGCAGGGGGTTGGACTAGATGACCTCCTGAGGTCCTTTCCAACCCTGATATTCTATGATTCTAATGGCGGGTGAGGGGGTGTCTCTCCTTTAAGCTATCCACATCACTGAAGTTTTCTGTATCCTACTATGGACAGCAATAAGAAGATGGTGGAGAACAGAGCCCTAACATGGGTGCCATAAGCAGCCTTATACCTGGGACACTACAATTGCATTTCACACTAGGACTGTTAAAACCAGCCTGCCCTACTCCATACACAGATCCACAATATGAAACTGCAAAACAGCAAGATTCTATCCATGAACCGGCTTCCTCAAGCTGTTATTTAGGTACCAAAATAGCAAAGGCAGGATAAAATCTCCAGCATAAATATTCCATTAAAAGAACAGGTCATTACAAAAGCCCAATAGATTAGACAAGAATAGCAAAATGAGACCCTCACCCTTGTTTCCCTGATCTATGTGAGTAAATGAGGCCCAAGGAGTTAGTCAGCATCATACTTCAGAGGGGAAAAAGAATCCTGGCTCACACTGATCAGGAAAACCACACTAAAATCCTGTTTAATCCATGACTGTAGGTACGTGTGCACAGGGCCTAAAAAATTAAAGTTCCAAATACAGGTTCCGAAGACACTGCCTTTCTTAACTAACTCCAGTGTAACAGCCCAAGGACTAGAATAAAACCTTGGAATGAAACTTTAATGAAGTATTCCTATTCTAACTACAGAGCCAAGGGGTGTGCTACATGCTTGCTAACATGGAGAGAGGAGGAGCCGGTATATCAGGAAAGGCACTGAGGAGTCAGTCTCTGTGCAGATAATAAGTACCCTTGCCAGTGTGGAAGAAAAACGCAGTCTTCACTCTTAGGTTGTTTGCAACAAGTCAGAGACAGTTTATTCTCACGCAATTGCAAGGGGGAGAGTGCGCACGGACAGGGATTCCCCCTTTCTAGGCAGGTCTCTGCCAGATAAACAATTAGGGCAAGCATTTATACCTTTTGTTGCATACAATAATGATCAACAGCCATGTCTTGTTTATACATATTCCTTCCTGATATCTCACTTTTCTCAGCAGTTCCTGCTACAGTCTGCGTTCCATTCTTATCTAACACAAGGTCAAAACAGCATCTCTTACAGTTTTCCCACTCACTTCGGCCCTCCCTTAATGTCTCGAGTTATTAGAGTTTGCCTGACTCTTACTCTATTCCTAAGAAAACTAAGATGTCTGTGTTCAAATTCCCTTTATCCCTTTTTCCTTCCACACCAGTTTGGGGCAGTAGGAAGGAATGCCTCTGAAGATTAGTGCCAGGTAAGCAAAACGGAGTTACTCAGTTTGGGAACATCCTGCTTTACTGCAAAGATAGGATCCACCTACAACCAGAGTCTTGTCTGCAGCATGGATCCATCCCCTCTTTTCTTGCTGTATGTGATCTATTTTCTTACAGCACTGATGGTTTTGCAGCCCCTAGACACATCCATATTTTGCAAAACCCCTGATCCTTTTGATTTCTCGCTGTTTACAAAATTTCTGCTTTACACGGTAACCACTTTACAGTAATACATATTTGAATTGGTTCTTTAACACCTTCCAGCATGCAGAATGCAAAGCACCTGGCAAGTTATATTAGATGCAAGTCACTGCACCTTACATTTATGTGGAACCTTTCACTTATATTGACATAATATACATTACATGATATGTACTTGCTGTGCACAGGAGTCACTTCAGCCACCACTGGAGCTGCAAAAGTACACAGCAAACATGGCAGCAGTTTGGGAGTTAAAACCTCAGATCGAAACTGCAGGTGGATTCAGGGGGGACAAATGTACTTTGCCCAGCTGAAACCTGGCCAGAGCCCTAGGTTTAACTCCGGTGCAAAGCACCCCAGGATCATTAATGACCATGACGGCTCAGGACCCCAGCTGAATGTTTTATCTAGGTTTTCCTGTGGTGAAGGTTCCCATGCTCAACCTCCCTTCCCTGTGCCCTCCAGCAGGTGCCTCTCCCAGGAACCATAGTGACTGGTGGCAGTACCCAAGCACCAGCAGGGGGCAACACCACCAGCCTCCTACTGGGGCAGTAGCGTCACCAGCAGCTCCCTAGCCACAGACTCCCCCCACTCCGGGTCCACACGGCACTGCTCCTTGGAGGCTGCCCAGGAGAAGTCTCCCATCCACGCCCTGCTCAGGCCTGACCCTGCTCAGCTTGCGAGACATGCCGCTGCAGCCCACGGGCCCCGCCCCTTTTGACTGGCAAAGGGGTTAGCCATTCACAGTGTGGAATGCCACCCTGCAGCCAATCAGGAGAGGCCGGTGGCGGAACTCGGCGCACTCCCGGCCGCAGCCTCTCTCAATGGGACTGGCCGGCTGCGCTCTGTGGGGCCGCTGGGGCCCCTCTTACCCCCGGTTGTAGCTGTGCTCTTCCTCGTTCTCGCAATCGCTGCAGTGCTCGTGATCATTCTCCTCCCAGGACGATCGCTGGGGCCTCGACGGCGGCCGCCTCACTGCTGTCTCACTGTCGTCCGCCATCTTGAAACGGGGCCTCGCCGGCTGCCGCGCCCCCACAGCTAGGCGCGCCACGATTGGGCGGTGCCGCGTGGAGCATGCTGGAACTTGTAGTCTGCAATGAGATGAACGCGGAAGAGCCCGTTAAAGCGACAGGGACTACAATTCCCATAAACCTTTGGGAGGAGGCTGCCGCGGTAGATCAGTCTGTACATGACCACGGGCATGCTGGGATGTGTAGTATTCTTCTTAGTAGTCCCTTCTTGAACAAAGGGGCTAGCAATTGTGACCTTAAATTGGTCTTGACTGCTATGTGCAGAACCTATCAATTTTTGACCAATAATGAGGCTTAAAACTATGAAGGTTTAAACACAGGTAACGGGATCTCAGAGCCTCCGAGGGGAACAGAAGTACTACATTGTGCAGTGGGCCAGGTGGATTATGGGAGGTCTCAATGGTCAAGAAGGAAACTCAGTCCCACCACGATGTACTGCATTGCACTGGGCCTTCTTAAGCTTTCCAGACAGGATCCTGTTTTTCCTGAGTTCTATGAAGAACCTCAGGATGCTGTGCAATGAATGGGGAAGTACATTACGGGAGGGGAGATGGTTCACCTTTCTCAAAAGCATCAGGAATTGCCAACTGGACACTAGACTAGTTGGACAAATTATTTAAACTGGTGCAGTAAAAGATGGAGACTAAGACTGCTTTCTGCAGTTAGCAGGAGGTGAGGTATTTGACTGGTATCGGAACTACCTCAGCCTCAACCCACCTGAGAAGTTTTTCAATATGAGGATGCAATCTCCTACTTCAGGTTTTCAATTGTTGAGGGGACCTATTCAGAGGTAGAAGGAGAAATCTGATTGGGAAATATTTGTGGCATCACTTCTGACATGCCCTTAATATGGAAAACCTTGTATCATGTATGGTATAAAGATATCTACTTTGGTTGCATCATGTATGTAAGCTGCATGCTTATTTGTCCCCAAACAGGTGGACAAAGGCAACACATAGTCCTGTGCCTGTAAGGATCCAATATTGCATTTTTCTTCTTTCAGGGCAACTCTGGCAAATTGCAGCTTGCACAGATGGCCAAAGCACACTTGTGCACTGAGCAGAGAGACAGCAGTCATCTCGCCTGCCCTGTGTTCGTTATGCTGGCTGGGTATAAAGTAACAGATTAGTTTTAAAAACCTCTCTCGTGCAATCAGATCCAGGTGGACAGACCCCTGCATCTCTGGGCAGCCTCCTGGGCCGGGAGGCTCTGCAGAGGTCCAGGTCCCTGTGGATCCAAGCACAGACCAGGGCCCGCTGGTTCCTACACGCTCTCGGCCCTGGCTACCCCCACAACCCCCCTCTTTGGGCCACGCCCACGACCCACCCCCTGTCCTCCACCCACCCCACGGCCCGATTCACGCGCCCCGCCACCCCTCGGCCCCGCCCTGGGCGCCGCGCGGCGGGGCGGGGCGGGGCGAGCCGAGTAAGAGCCGCAACGATTGGCTGAGCGGGCAGAGCCGGGTTCCTCTCCGCCAATGAAAGGGCAGGACAGTGGCGGGGCTGAGGGGGGCCCCGGGTCAGGGACTGACGGACGGACGGACGGACGCTGAGGTGGGGGCCGGGCCAGATCCGCCGGTGATCCCGCTCCCGACACGTGACCGCTCGGCCCGGCGCCCCCTGCCACGGGGGGCGGTCACCCCGCGGCACTGGCAGGCCGCTCGGCCCGGCCGGGGCAAACCGCCCCCCCCCCGCCCCGGGCCCGCTCCTCAGGGAGCGGCTCTGCCCTCCGCCGTCCCGGGGGCCGCATCATGGCCCGGGGGGGCCTGTCCCGTGGCTGGGCGGGGGACTCCCCGGGCCCGGCCTGGCCGCGACGTGCCCTGTCCCCGGGGCCGGACTGCGGGCGTGTCCCCTGGAGCGAGCGCTCGGCGCCGCGGCTCCTAAGGCCCCGTGGGCTCCAGTCCGAGGCGCCGGGGAGCTCGCCCCCCCGGAGAGCAGCTGGCGTGGCGCCCCGCGCCGCCTGGGGGGGCCCGCCTGGCCCAGGGCTCCCCCCACGTGCCTGGAAGGGTTCGCCTCGCGGGCCCGGGGGGCAGTCCGTGGGCAGGCTTCTCAAGATGGGGAGGCTAGCACCCCGGAGCGGCAGTCTGGAGGGGAGTGGATCTGTGTTCTGTCCCCACAATGTCTTGTGGCGGAGAGGGCAGGCCCTGGCTGTGTCCCACTGCTGTGGCGTGGGGGTGGAGAGGAGAGCAGGACCATAGTGATGCACAACATTGGGCTGGCTGTCAGGGCGTGGCCTCGCCCGGTCCCTTCTTCCTAATGGAAATACCTGGCCCATGGCAGGGGCTGGAGCATGTGCATCCCAGCTGCCAGGGGTGGGATGGGGACTGCATTGGATGCAAGCCACCGGAGTGGGGGATGAGACGGGGCACCAGCTGCCAAGGAACTACCATCGGTATGGAAGTAGAAGCTACTGGGCTTCTCCTTCCCACCCTGGTGCCAGCTGCCCCTGCTCACCTTGAAACTCCCTCTCCTGTTCATCCGTCTCTCCATTCACTGGTACTTCTGCCCTTCCTCCCAGTTCAAGAGTCTAGGTAGACAATCCCATCAGAATCAGGATGTTCCATTTAAAAAATAAAATGGGATGAGTGATACTGAGATGGGCTGGCCTTGAAAAGTTTGAATATTGAGCTGCTCGCAAGTTAAGATCAAACATTTTGGTTTGGGGCCCATTCCTGGGGCCCATTCCTTGTGTGATAAGGGGCCAAGGAATCAATATTCACCAATTCCTAGATTATTTTTTCAGATCAGAAGGGATAATGATTATCCATTTCTGTGATTGTGATCCTCTAAACTGACCTCCTGAATTAACACAGGCCATGACATCTCACCCAGTAAGTTTTGAATGAAGCCCATAAGTTCTGTTTGAATTATAGCATATATTTTTAGAAATATATCAAGTCTACAAGTAAAGACTTCAAGTGATGGAGAATCCACTGCATCCCTAGGTAAGTCATTCCAATGACTAACTACCTTCACTGTTAAAACTATATGCCTTATTTATAGTCTGAATTGCCTAGCTTCAACTTTTGTCCATAGAATCTTGTTATGCTTTTTTCTGGTAGATTAAAGAACCATTTATGTTCAGAAATCTCTTCTCCAGTGGTCTATTCATAGACCATGGTCAAGTCATTTCTTGGATATGCTAAATAGATCAAGCTTCTTTAGTCTCTCGCTATAAGGCAGGCTTTCCAGACCTCGCATCATTCTAGCAGCTCTCTTCTGAACCTCTTCCAATTTTCAACATCCTCTTTAAAGTGTGGACACAAGCAATGGATACAGCCTTCCAATAAACTCCTCCAAAATGCTGTACAGAGCTGATAATCTGTATTCTCCTGCTTAAGTATCCAAGTATCATGTGTGCCCTCTTAGCTACAGCATTGCACTGGGAGTGTCTTTTCAGTGGGTTATGTACCATAACCCCATGTCACTACATTCCAGGGTACAGTCCCCCATCTTATAAGTGTGACCCTCACTCTGTTCCTCAGCATATGACCTTACATTTGACTGTATTAAAACATGCTGTTCATTTGAGCCCACCATTTTACCAAGCAATCCAAATTCGTATGTATAACTGATCTGTCCCCATCATTATTTACCAGTCTCCCAATTTTTGTCATTTGTGCATTGGACTAGCAATGATTTTATAAAAAAAAAAGTAGTACTTGTGGCACCTTAGAGACTAACAAATTTATTTGAGCATAAGCTTTCGTGAGCTACAGCTCGCTTCATTGGATGTATTTTCCACTGAATGCATCCGATGAAGTGAGCTGTAGCTCACGAAAGCTTATGCTCAAACTTGTTAATCTCTAAGGTGCCACAAGTACTCCTTTTTCTTTTTGCAAATACAGACTAACATGGCTGCTACTCTGAAACCAATGATTTTATATTTTCTTTCAGATAATTAAAGATATTCATAGATTCCAAGGCTAGAAGGGAGAGTTGTGATCCTTTGACCTCCTGCATAACAAACCAGAGAACTTCCCCAAAATAATTCCTAGAGCAGATCTCTTTAGAAGTATATTGAATAGCATTGAGCTGAGAACAGATCCCTTCAGGACCTTACTAGAAGCGCTCTGTAGGGCTTTGATTCCCCATATACAATTTCTTCAGTTAACCAGTTTTTAATCCATTTAATATGGCCTACATCAGGGGTTCTCAAACTGGGGGTCATGGCCCCTCAGGGGATCACAAGGTTATTACACGGAGGGGTTGCAAACTGTCAGCCTTCACTCCCAAACCATGCTTTACCTCCAGCATTTATAATAGTGTTAAATATTTAAAAAGTGTTTTTAATTCATAAGGGTGGTTGCACTCAGAGGCTTGCTGTGTGAAATGGGTCACCAATACAAAAGCTTGAGGACCACTGGACTACGTTTTTGTATGGTAAATTTTTAATCAGAACATCAAGAAGGCCCTGGTTTGAGCAGGGGGTTGGACTAGATGACCTCCTGAGGTCCCTTCCAACCTTGATATTCTATGATTCAGCACTAAATCAAGCACCTTATGGAAATCTAAAAGGTAACTGTTAACACAGTCCTCCTGCACTGCCAACCCCTCAGCCCCAGCCCGGAGCCTCTTCCTGTATCCTGAACTCATCATTTCTCGTCCCACCCCAGAGCCTGCACCCCCAGCCAGAGCCCACACCCCAGCCCCCAATTTTGTGAGCATTCATGGCCCGCTGTACAATTTACATACCCTGCTGTGGACCTTGGGCCAAAAAGTTACCCCACCTGGGGGGTAAGTGATGACTCAGGGTGCAAGGGGATGGAGAATTAGGCCCTAATGTCCGGATCCAAAGCTCACTGAAGTAGGAATGCATGGTTCGGTCTTCCTCAACTGGCAGCAAGGTGACTTGTCAGAGTCTTGTGAAAAACTGACTTCACTATTAGTAGTCTTTCTATTTCTGATTTCCTTATTAATCCCTCCTGGATCTCGTTACGTTGGGACTGCCTGACCCAGTCTGCTTTCCTAAGCTTTTTTGAAGAACAAGTAGGAACATGCCCTTGCCTCTCGTTCCAAGCAGTATCGGGATACTTGAGTACCTCCTTGGGTACTGACAGCAGCAGAACTAGTGAGTTTCAGTGCGATAGTTGTGCAGGGCATCTGGTATTGGCTTCCTTCATGTTACAGGCTGGCACTGTTTCCCCCTTTGAAGAGTTGCCTCCAACTGCCACAGAATCTTCTGGAAACGCCCCCCCATTAGGCCTCTGGCATCACTAGTTCACAGCCTGCCTCTATATGTCCAATTTACAGGACTATGAAATTTGATCTATATGATAGATACACATACAGATCACCAGCGAAAAGGAAAAGAAGCACATCCAGTGCCACCCTTTAATATGTAAGTAGCCAAGATTTGCAGATGAGATGTACCACTCATGGTTATTAAAAAGAACAGGAGGACTTGTGGCACCTTAGAGACTAACAAATTTATTTGAGCATAAGCTTTCATGAGCTACAGCTAACTTCATCGGATACATTCAGTGGAAAATACAGTGTGGAGATTTATATACACAGAGAACATGAAACAATGGGTGTTACCATACACACTGTAATGAGTGATCACTTAAGATGAGCTAATACCAGCGGGGAGGGGGGGAGAATCTTTTAGTGACAATCAAGATGGGCCATTTCCAGCAGTTGACAAGAAAGTCTGAGGAACAGTTTTGGGGGGGGGAGGAATAAACATGGGGAAATAGTGACCAGAGAGGTTGAAGTGTTCTCTGACTGGTTTATGAATGTTATAATTCTTGACGTCTGATTTGTGTCCATTTGTTCTTGGTCACTCGATTACAGACCTAAAAGTCGCAATATTACAACAAAAAGACTTCAAAAACAGACTCCAATGAGAGACTGCTGAATTGGAATTAATTTGCAAACTGGATACAATTAACTTAGGCTTGAATAGAGGCTGGGAGTGGATGGGTCATTACACAAAGTAAAACTATTTCCCCATGTTTATTCCTCCCCCCGCACTGTTCCTCAGACTTTCTTGTCAACTGCTGGAAATGGCCCACATTGATTTATCACTACAAAAGGTTTTCTGCCTGCCCCCCGCCCCCTGCTCTCCTGCTGGTAATAGCTCATCTTAAGTGATCACTCTCCTTACAGTGTGTATGGTAACGCCCATTGTTTCATGTTCTGTGTATATAAATCTCCACACTGTATTTTCCACTGAATGCATCCGATGAAGTGAGCTGTAGCTCACGAAAGCTTATGCTCAGATAAATTAGTTAGTCTCTAAGGTGCCACGAGTCGTCCTGTTCTTTTTGCGAATACAGACTAACACGGCTGCTACTCTGAAACCTGTGGTTATTAAAGACTCTGGAGCTCTTTTTGCACAACTAAGTTAATACCAAAATGTGTTGATCAAACTCTCTTGGATAATTATATTCTGCCTCCTTAAATTCCTTCCAGTGGTTTCTTTTGGATCTGTTAATTTTTATTGCGCCTGTACTGCTGATCAGTGGTAATTTGTGCTGGAACATGATGGACACATCCCTCTTGAGGTGGCTGTGTGTGTACACACAATGTTTGGAGCTGGCTAGTAAAATTTGACAACCATCTTAGTGAGCCCTCTGGATGAAAGGTACTATATAAATGTAAGCTTATTAGGTTTATAGGCATAGCTTCACTTCCTTTTTAATGGAGGGAAGGGTTACACCTTGTGGGCAACCAACCCAACTTCAAGCAGCATCCTTATAGCCAGGGTTCTCAAACTTCATTGCATCATGACCACCTTCTGACAACAAAAATTACTTCACAACCCCGGGGGGGGGGACCAAAGCCTGAACCTGCCCGAGCCCCACTGATCCAGGCAGGGGGGCTCAAGGGCCTCAGCCCCAGGCAGGGGGCCTGCAACCTGCGTCTTGCTGCCCAGAGCTGAAGCCCTCAGGCTTCAGCCCTGGGCAGTGGGGCTTGGGCTTCGGCCCTGGGCCACAGCAAGTCTCAGCCAGGCCTGGCGACCACATTCAGAGAGAGTTGTGATCCACTTCGGAGTCCTGATCCACAGTTTGAGAACCATTGTTGTACAGTAATTGGAAGTGGGGGAGTTGCATTGTATGTAAGAGAGAAGTATGACAGCTCAGAGCTCCAGTATGAAACTGCAGAAAAACCTGAAAGTTTCTGGATTAAGTTTAGAAGTGTGAGCAACAAGGGTGATGTCATGGTGGGAGTCTGCTATAGACCACCAGACCGGGGGATGAGGTGGACGAGGCTTTCTTCCAGCAACTAATGGAAGTTACTAGATTGCAGGCCCTGGTTCTCATGGGAGACTTCAGTCACCCTGAGATATGCTGGGAGAGCAAATACAGCGATGCACAGACAATCCAGGAAGTTTTTGGAAAGTGTAGGGGACAATTTCCTGGTGCAAGTGCTGGAGGAACCAAGTGGGGGCAGAGCTCTTTTTGACCTGCTGCTCACAAACCAGGAAGAATTAGTAGGGGAAGCAAAAGTGGATGGGAACCTGGGAGGCAGTGACCATGAGATGGTTGAGTTCAGGATCCTGACACAAGGAAGAAAGCAGAGCAGCAGAATACGGACCCTGGACTTCAGAAAAGCAGACTTTGACTCCCTCTGGGAACTGATGGACAGGATCCCCTGGGAGAATAACATGAGGGGGAAAGGAGTCCAGGAGAGCTGGCTGTATTTTAAAGAATCCTTATTGAGGTTACAGGGACAAACCATCCCGATGTGTAGAAAGAATAGTAAATATGGCAGGCGACCAGCTTGGCTTAACAGTGAAATCCTTGCTGATCTTAAACACAAAAAGGAAGCTTACAAGAAGTGGAAGATTGGACAAATGAGGAGGGAGGAGTATAAAAATATTGCTCAGGCATGCAGGAGTGAAATCTGGAAGGCCAAATCACACCTGGAGTTGCAGCTAGCAAGGGATGTTAAGAGTAACAAGAAGGGTTTCTTTAGGTATGTTAGCAACAAGAAGAAAGCCAAGGAAAGTGTGTGCCCCTTACTGAATGAGGGAGTCAACCTAGTGACAGAGGATGTGGAAAAAGCTAATGTACTCAATGCTTTTTTTGCCTCTGTCTTCACAAACAAGGTCTGCTCCCAGACTGCTGCACTGGGCAGCACAGCATGGGGAGGATGTGACCAGCCCTCTGTGGAGAAAGAAGTGATTCAGGACTACTTAGAAAAGCTGGATGAGCACAAGTCCATGGGGCGGGATGTGCTGCATCAGAGGGTGCTAAAGGAGTTGGCAGATGTGATTGCAGAGCCATTGGTCATTATCTTTGAAAACTCATGGCAATCGGGGGAAGTCCCGGAAGACTTGAAAAAGACTAATGTAGTGCCCATCTTTAAAAAAGGGAAGGAGGATGATCCTGGGAACTACAGGCCAGTCATCCTCACCTCAGTCCCTGGAAAAATCATGGAGCAGGTCCTCAAGGAATCAATTCTGAAGCACTTAAAGGAGAGGAAAGTGATCAGGAACAGTCAGCATGGATTCACCAAGGGCAAGTCATGCCTGACTAACCAGATTGCTTTCCATGACGAGATAACTGGCTCTGTGGATGAGTGGAAAGCAGTGGACGTGTTATTCCTTGTCTTTAGTAAAGCTTTGGATACGGTCTCCCACAGTATTCTTGCCAGCAAGTTAAAGAAGTATGGGCTGGATGAATGGACTAAAGGTGGATAAAATGCTGGTTAGATTGTCGGGCTCAATGGGTAGTGATCAATGGCTCCATGTCTAGTTGGCAGCCAGTATCAAGCGGCATGCCCCAAAGGTCAGTCCTGGGGGCTGGTTTTGTTCAAGATCTTCATTCGTGATCTGGAGGATGGCATGGACTACACCCTCAGGAAGTTTGCAGATGACACTAAACTGGGAAGAGAGGTAGATACGCTGGAGGTTAGGGATAGGATATAGAGGGACCTAAACAAATGAGAGGATTGGGCCAAAAGAAATCTGAGGAGGTTCAACAAGGAAAGTGCAGAGTCCTGCACTTAGGACAGAAGAATCCAATGCACCGCTACAGACTAGGGACCGAATGGCTCGGCAGCAGTTCTGCAGAAAAGGACCTAGGGGTTACAGTAGATGAGAAGCTGGATATGAGTCAACAGTGTGCCCTTGTTGCCAGGAAGGCCAATGGCATTTTGGGCTGTATAAGTAGGGGCATTGCCAGCAGATCAAGGGACGTGATCGTTCCCCTCTCTTCGACATTGGTGAGGCTTCATCTGGAGTACTGTGTCCAGTTTTGGGCCCCACACTACAAGAAGGGTGTGGAAAAATTGGAAAGTGTCCAGCGGAGGGCAACGACAATGATTAGGGGACTGGAACACATGACTTATGAGGAGAGGCTGAGGGAACTGGGATTGTTTAGTCTGCAGAAGAGAAGAATGAGGGGGGATTTGATAGTTGCTTTCAACTACTTGAAAGGGGGTTCCAAAGAGACTGTTCTCAGTGGTAGCATGTGACAGAATGAGGAGTAATGGTCTCAAGTTGTAGTGGGGGGGGGGGGGGTTAGGTTGGATATTACAAAAAACTTTTTCACTAGGAGGGTGGTAAAACACTGGAATGCGTTACCTAGGGAGGTGGTGGAATCTCCTTCCTTAGAAGTTTTTAAGGTCAGACTTGACAAAGCCCTGGCTGGGTTGATTTAGTTGGGGATTGGTCCTGCTTTGAGCAGGGGGTTGGACTAGATGATCTCCTGAGATCCCTTCCAACCCTTATATTCTATGATTAACTACATGGTTGTTGTTTAATTGAGAGTTATTTGAGGTAGAGTTGAGGATCCTTCTAGTCTAAATAGCTGCTTCTCTGTAATAATTTCAAAGAATAGCCGCAGTACACCGCACAAAGAATGCTTATCATTTACCAGAAATAATATATTTGTATACCTTCTGCTGCCTGTATGGGGGGAGTGGTTCCTGTGGTATCCAGTGACTTAATGCTTGTGTGATAAGTTATGATACACGTCCACATTTATATATAGGGAAGAAATGGTGTCAAACTTAGTATATTTTACTATTTCTGCACTGGAAGGGATTTAAAGTCCTTTGAACAAACAAGTGCAGAGGAGCTAAAAATGAGCAGATTGCGAAACACTGTTGGACTGAGATTTACTTACTCTTTGCCCCCAACACTCTGCATTTGGCAGAAGAGTTTTCTTCACTGGAAAAAAAAAGGGAGCTCTAATGTTGAAGAGGTTGGATTGTTTATAAGTCAAACCAGACTCTCCAAAATAGGGGAAACTTGCTGTATTTTGTATCTTTTTAGATATCTCTGCTCATCAGAAAAAACACTGACCTCTGTATAGGGCACTGGGGAGATCATTTCTGGAATATTGGGTCCAGTTCTGGTTTGTCTGCTTCAAAAAGGATGTTGAAAGTTTGAAAAGCATTCGGAAAAGAGCTGTAAGAATGTTTCTGGAAAGTATGTTTTATGTTGAGAAACTGGAGAAGAGCAATAAGCCAAATATATTGAGCAAGCGAAAGTTACCAGGTGGCTTGAATCATAATCCATAGAGCCCTAAAGGGAAGAATATTTCTGATAGTAGGTGGTTCTTTAATCTGGAAGACAAAGGCATAAAAAGATCCAGTGGAAACTGAAGCTAGATAAATTCAGACTAAAAATAAGGCACACATTATTAACAGTGATTGTAATTAGTCATTAGAATTTAGGGGTATAGTGAATTCTCCATCCCTTAAAATCAAGACTGGATGTTCTTTAAAGAAAAATGCTCTAATTCAGCTAAAAGAAATGGGCTTGATGCATGAACCAATGGGTGAAATGCTCTGGTCTGTGCTAGACAGGCAGTTGGATGAGGTGATCAGAACGGAGTTGTTCCGGCCCTGAAGCGTATTAAATTAATCTTAACTCGCGACAAACTAAATCTTAGGATGTTTAATGTGTTAGCAAAGTAACATGGGTGCGATTCATAGTTCTGAGCAAATTGGTTGGATTACTAAATAAACTCTATGTAGTTTGAGACATGTGGAACCTTCAGTTAGTGTAGAAAATAACAGCCTGCTACCTTACCTTTTGCATAGAGCACACTGCACATTTGCCATAGATAGCACTGATTTGACGTTAGTTTGCTGGTGCAGTTTAATGTGTTGATAAGGCTCAATGTGGTGTGGATGCTGGTTGTTAGAGGCAGCCTTTCTGCAGGTGCATCCCACCTTAGATCAGCTGGGATGCTCTCCCTGACCATCCACAAAGTTCTTCATCTCGGGGTTGGATGTTATGAGCAGGGAGGGGCTAAGTTCTCTTCCCATTTCTGTCACTGCTTTTTGTTATAACCCTGGACAAGTCACTTACACTGACATTTTCAGAAATGTCTACTAACTTGGTAGTCATCATTTGAGACTTGGGGCCTAACTTCTGGAAGTGCTGAGCATCCACTATTCCAGTTAGCCAACTGGCTCTGCGGATACTCAGCGCTTCTGAAAATTAGACGCTGCTTGATTCAGATTGTGCATTCCAAACTAGCGGACATTCAGAGATCTTGGCCTTAATTTTTATCTCAGTTCCTCAGTGTGTAAAATGAAGTTATGTATCTTAGAGAGGGTGAGGGTTAATTAATGTTCCTAAAGTGCTTTGAGATCTCTAATGAAAACATGCCATAGAAATACAAGTTTGATCCTCTTTGAATTAAATTAGGACAAACATGTGCATGTACAGAATTAGTGAAACCCGGTCTTATTTTGTTGTGATTTAAGCTTTCTTTCTTTTCCAGAGCAGGATGTTCCTGGTTGGTCTGTCCGGTGGAATTGCTTCAGGAAAAAGCACAGTAGTGGCAGTATTCCGGGAACTGGGCTGTGCAGTGATTGATGCCGATGTTATTGCCAGACAGGGTTAGTTTTGCATTGTTGGTCTCTTTTCTCATATTTCCCTGACAATCTGGAGTCAATTGCTGATGGTGCTTTGGAGTTTAGACAGCAGAGGGTGCTCTGTGTTCAGTCAATAACTGTTACCTTTTGCTTCCCCAGTTTAAGACAAGATATGTGTGGACTGGCTGTCTTGAGGATTGGAAACAGGATACATTATCATCAAAAGTCCCATCTTAATGACCCACACTGCGAAGAGATTTCACTCTGGGTGTTGTACTCCTAGAACATAGTGCAGTGAACACTGCTTTGTAGAGCAGCTGCTGTAAAGGAGCATAACAAAGTTCTCTTTGCAAATCTGTGACTCTCCCTTCCTCCAGCCACCACCAAATTTACCATGACACAACTCTTTATCTGTCAGGGGCTGTAGGTGGAGCTTCAGTGACCGGTGAATGTCGCCAATACCCCCAGAAGAGCATTTCGGCCTTCATTCGTAGACGTTTGGTGGGTGCTTTTTTGTTAAGATTAATTGCCACCCTTAAATCTCTCTGGCCACTAAGTAAAAGATTTAAGGGTGGCAATTCTGCAACAGAAAAGCTTCAAAAACAGACTACACCGAGAAACTGCTGAGCTTGAATTAATCCGCAAACTAGATCCCATTAACTTGGGTTTGAATAGAGACGGGAGTGGCTGGGTCATTCCACATATTAAACTTATTTCCCCATGTTACGTATCCTCACACCACCTTGTCAACTGTCTAAATGGGCCACCTTGATTATTACTACAAACGTTTTTTTTTTCTTCTGCTGATAATAGCTCATCTTAACTAATTATCCTTTCACAGTTTGTTTGGCAACTTGTGTATATGTGTATCTAATCTATCTCATCTTGCTATGTGTTCCATTCTATGCATCCAACGAAGTGGGCTGTAGCCCACGAAAGCTTATGCTCTAATAAATTTGTTAGCCTCTAAGGTGCCACAAGTCCTCCTTTTCTTTTTGAGAATATACATTAATTTTTTTACACTTCATTTTATCCCCAGCCTTCTCCCAATTACTTTTTTTATTAGTATATCCTCTGGGTAGCAAGTTTGATGACTTTTTAAAATGACATACTTTTCCTTACATCACGCTAGTCTATAATAAGCTGCAAACAGCTCTTGAGAATTGGCCTCCTACAGGCTTTCATGTGCAATTTATCACAAAGAATCTCACGTATTCTATAGAAGCCCTTATGGCTTGATTCTGATGATATTGGAAACCTTAAGCCTATTAATATTCAGTCCTCTTTGATATTTAGTAACCTCCTACTCCCTTGTGGGAGCCCAGCTACGCTATTCATCCAGCCCAAGAGTTTTCAGTTAGAACAAGCCGAATATTTGTGCCTGTCTTCTAAAATCTCCCTACTCTGCACCCAACTGGAATAGAACAAAATCTATGGCAGTCATGTGTGCTCTCTCAAGGCAGCAGTGCGCAAACTTTTCCAGTCTTGCCCCCCTTTATCGCTAACCAAATCCATGCCCACTCCCCATTACTGCACAGCCAAGGCTTCTTCAGCAGCGGGCAGCTTCTGTCTTGCAGCCAGGCGGCAGCACTAGAGCAGGGCCAATACATGTCCCTCTGCCCCTCCTCTCTGATTTTCAGGGTTGGGGAAGGCACGTGCAACTGTCTCTGGGGCAGAGTTAGCGCTGGGCACGAAGGCAGATATTGGTGTGGCAAGCTGACCTACAGGCTGGGTGGCCTGCTGAGGTGGCGCACCCTTCCTGCCCTCCTTGGGGCTGGCCTGAGCTACCTGGCATTGCTCCCCCCCCCACCCCACCCCCACCCCCCTGTGTTCTAGGGACATGAGTGTAGAAAGCACCACTGTCTTAAGGCATGCGTGTAGAAAGATCCGTCAAAATGTAAACTGTGGCCCTTGATAACTATACATTATAAAGGGTTTCATACAACTCTGCTCACTGCAGTGTTTTCCCTTTTGAAAGGAACCAACTGAAATAACATGTATCACTACTGAGTGCTCCTAGTGGTTCAGTTAGAAACACGGCCTCTCCAGCAGAGAATCCTCTGAGACCTAGTTGCTGGAGAGTGACGAATCCATGATGATTCTGCAGGTCTTTTCCCAGCTTGGCTACTGACTTGCTGTGCAACCTGGGGCAAGTCCTTTCTCCCAGTTTACTGATCTTTAAAATTGGGATAATGCTTCCTCTTGGGAGAATGATGACGCTAATTAACGTTTGCAAAGTAATTTGATCTCTTGGGTGTCTGGCACTGTAGAAATGTAAGTGTTATTGGAACAAAAGTTTAGCAAATTTGTTTCTGCAGCACTAGATTCAAAGTTGGTTCTCCTGTAGATTTTAGACCCCTAGGATGAGATGTTCCACAGCCCTGCTTCAGTGTATGCTGGTCAATAGACATGTTCTCCCTTGAACGGAATAGACCTCAGTTGTTCAGTGAATGAGATTCATTTTAGACCCTTCACTGATGTAAGCACTTCCTGTTATGCAGAATTGGCACTAACTTCCAGCTGTTTATTTTTATCAGTGGTTCAGCCCCGCTTCTTAGCCTATCAGCAGATAGTGCATTACTTTGGAAATGAAATCCTCTTGGAGAGTGGGGAGATAAACCGGGAGGCTCTGGGAAACATTATCTTCTCCCACCCGGAAAAACGGCAGCTGCTGAACTCCATCACTCACCCTAAGATCCAGAAAGAGATGCTGAAACAGATCTTTAAATACTTTGTGTTAGGTAAGAAACTAAACAATTGTTATGGAATCCTTGGACATCTGGGGTTCTGGTCACACTGGCGACCAGCAATATGTGTTTGCTTGTTTTTTCCTTTAGCAGGGAAAGGGACTAGAGGAGAAAAGGAGCCAAAATGTTGACTGACTGCCTTTGTGCTATGTCACTAGTGGCCTTTAGCAATGTGGCTATCCTTTCATTGTACCTCTTCAGATAAGTCTGCCTTTTATTTTTGCCCTTCACATTTTCTCCCCTGTATGGTTTAAAGTACATCTGTAGGGTCTGAGGGAAGCATTGTATGGCTTCTTCTGAGATTACTCCTTAGATAATGTCACACCTTCTGAAATGTTCTAATATTATTCCCCTCCACCCCCTGCTTCACTAAAAGCCATAAAGCTCTCTTAAACTCGATAAGGTGAAAAATGGGTTGACAGCTGTGGTTTCTGCAGTTCTGCTTTTCCCTCTGATAAATATAACAAATACAGCCGTCAGACTTGGTCTAATCAAATGCCAGATAAGATCACCAGCTGTTTCGGAGGTCTCCGTGTAGACAGAGGGATGTCTTAATAGAGTCAGCCTAGTTTGCAGAGCTTATCAAGGGTGAGCTATGTGACAGCTGAATAACCTTTTGCTAGGGAGCTGAAGAAGCCAAGCTCTCCTGAGAGAGATGCAGGGGGAGAAAGTAAGCCAATGAAGGAAGGTGACAAGAAAGGAAACTGGAGAAATAGACAAAGGAAATAAGAGGCGTATCTAAATGAGCTTATGGAAGCCATTGGGGGAGCTTTACCAACTGCTCCAGCTATCATTTTGCAAATGATTTTGTCTTAATTAGTTTGCAGCAACTGACTCGGGATATTTATTTTTGGTGTCTTAGGCCAAATGGCTTTCGCTAAGGTTTTGGGTTTGTGCACATATGGAATCCCTTCCCTGCCCCCAAGTTCCACTGGTCTGAAGCCCAGTCCTGTAGCAGCTGATGAGTTTAAAGCTTTATAAGTTGCAGTCTTGCAGAGCTGGAAGAGGGTTTTCCAACGGAATACACAGCCCTCACGTCTGCCCTCCAACAGATCAGAGTTTAAAGCCATGACGGTGTTTCGTTTTTTGGCATAGAAAAGCTATTTTAGATCATTTTTAGACTAATGTTCATTTTCTATCTCTGGGTGCCTTGGGTAACAAAACCACCTTGCTTTATAAGTAGAGGGGATATAAAACAGCATCTAGATGGAGAAATACATAAAGTAGATTTCTCCATTTATTAAAAAAAAAATACCAGATATCTTCCTGACTTTTTCTGTCCCATGCAGTAGTGTCTACAGATGATGAGAGAGCTTGTTATGGCACGAAGGGTTTATAGACCCACACGTGGAATGAGATACACACAACCGATACAGGGCTAATAACCCTTTGGTCCACCCCACACTGTCATGGGGCTTCTCTCTCTTTTTAAGACCACGGATGGTTTGGTTTTTTTAAATGTTTCCTTCTTATAAAGCCAGGTAGCTTAGCACTATGGGTCCCACTGTACAGGCCTTAGAAGGAGAAAAAATTATAACTCATTTTGGTGGGAACTGGCAACATGGGGTTAAGGAAGTTCCTGTGGGCCCAAGTAACCCTGCAGCCAACGTCCGGGATTGGCGAGAGGAGTTAAAAGGGCCAGTTGTGGGTGACCAGGAAAGAGAGCAGAGCTCTGCTGCTACTTTGCTGATGGAAGCCTGGTTTCAGCCCAGAGCCTGAGGCAGCTTGGTACCTGAACGAGCCATTTGATAGGTGGGACGACTAGACCAAGGAAGATTGGCAAAAGGGACTAGCCACATAGAGACAAGGCCAGAGCAGAAGGGTCCTGCCAATGACTCTGCAGTCCATCTGTTTTCCTTTTTGTTTTCGACTCTAACACCCTGCGAGGGGTAGACCCCTGTGTGCTAGACAGAGGGCTAAGGTACCATGGAACTGGATCTGTGAGGGGTGACACCCGACCGCTGGGGATCTGCAGCAGGGTGAGTCGTGCTTAATAGGCCACAAGGGGGCATTGGCTAGACAACCAGGTAACACTCATTAATTTGAGAAGCATCTAAAACTGTTCTAAAATAGCTTTTCTGTAAGTTAAAGTTGCAAGACAGCAGACCTTAATGCAGCAAGCAGCCGTGGCTAGAAATCCTGCAAATCCTGCATCTTGGCAGGAGTTAGACTAGATCAGTGGTCTTCAGCCTTTTTATGCACAAGATCACTTTTTGAATTTAAGATCAACCCAGGATCTACCCCGCCCCTTCCCTGCATCCCCATCCTACTCACTTCATTCCCCCACTCTCACTCACTTTCATCGGGCAGGGGGTTGGAGTGTGGGAGGGGGTGCAGACTCTGGGCTGGGGCTGAGGGTTTCAGAGTTTGGGAGGGGGCTCTGGGCTGAGCCTGGGGCAGGGGGTTGGGGTGCAGGAATGAGAGGTGCAAGCTCTGGGAGGGAGTTTGGGTGCAGGGGTCATATGGTCACACTGCACCTAATCTCATAGAAGCCACTGGACATTTCATGAGTGTTACTTTTTATTAGTGTTATTTGTGACATCCTTCAGGGATTGTCACAAATCAGTGTAACATTCTCAACTGTGGGGGGTGTGTTGGCTGAGCCTGGGACAGGGGATTGGGATGTAGGAGTGAGGGGTGTAAGCTCTGGGAGGGAGTTTAGGTGCGGGAGGGGGCTCCAGGCTGGTGCAGGGAATTGGAGTGCAGGAGGGGGTGAGGGCTCTGGGAGGGAGTTTGGGTGCAGGAGGGGTTTCTGACCTGGGGCAGGGGGTTGGGGTACAGGATGGGGTGCGAGGTGCAGACTCCAGCTGGGAGGTGCTTACCACAGGCAGCACTTGGTTGACAGTGCAGTGGGGCTCAGGCAGGCTGCTTGCCTGCCCTGGCCCCATGCCGCTCTCGGAAGCGGCTGGCTGCTGGCACATCTCTGTGGCCCCTGGAGCAGGAGGGGGCAGTGGGTCTCCGGGCGCTGTCCATGCCCATGAGCACTGCCTCCGCAGCTCCCATTGAGCCACCTTGCACACCCCCTTCCCTGCAGGGGCTGCAGTGACATGTCAGCAGCCAGCCAGTTCCGGGAGTGGCATGGGGCCAGGGCAGGCAGCCTGCCTGATCCCTGCTGTGCTGCCGGCTGGAGATCACAATCAACTGCCAGAGGCTCCGGGATCGACCAGTCTATCATGATCGACCAGTTGATGACCACTGGACTAGATGATCCGTGCAGTCCCTTCTAACCCAGTGATTCTATAACTCCTGTCACCCACTGGGCGAAGGGGATTCCCTGCCCTTCAAGGGGTCAAGTTCTCTGCTGTAGCCCTGATGATTCAAGAGGACCTTAAACCTGTCACCTAGTCCAGGATTGAGTATAGCACCTGCTGCTCCTCAGACCAGTGTATTTTTCAGGGTTGGGGGGTAATGGTGGATGGTTGGGGTGGAATGGTGGGCGCCATCTGGAGGGAAATAAGGAAACACTTTTGTGGCAGGTTGTTTTTCTTCTAAAAACAGAAAAGGTGGCTCTTGGAAGCTGCTCTGAGGTTTGGAGTGTTAATCATGGAGGAGACAGGTGAGTGAGCAGAGTACAGGAGAAGTGTTCTAAGGTATAAAATAAATACACTTGGTTGTGTGGAAATTGCCACCATGAGTTTCTCTATTTATGATAGGCAGGGATACCTATCATAATGGGACATGTTAGGTGATCATAACAAGTCCCTTTGGTTGGTTGCTTATAACTTTGCCAACTGTAATCATTTGGGATGCAGTTTTCCATGCTGATTTCTGAGTTAAGCTGGAATTTATTTTTAAAATTTCAGCAAAAACAGTTCAGAACTTCCAACAATAAGGTTAAGGAAAAATACTCTGTGGTATTCATGTTAAATGCTTACAAATGCTTTAAGGAGCTTCAGAACACTCCATGTTTTGCAGCAGAGACTTTACATTTTGCAGGGGTCAGAGAGGTGCCTTTTGTCTGTTTTAAAATTCATCTAAGTTTGGCTGAGTTATAAACCTCTGAAAATTGCCAGTTCCAGATTCTCAGCAGAGCTTTGTTAGAAGCTGGCAGCAAAATTCTCTAAACATTCCCTCCTTACTGAGCATCCACCATCCCCACAGCATTCACGGAGGATGCTCCAGCCTGTGACTGAGCTAGATTTGTCTTGAAGGTGCTCTTTCCAGATGCTGGGGGTCACTGTGCTGCTGGACACCAGAACGGAGACCAAGGAGACTCTCCCCCCCCCCCCCCCCGCTTTCATTCCCTCCCTGCTGTCATCTAGGCAACCTGGAGGAGGAAGACAAAGCCACTGATTTGAATGAGGGACAGAGGGGGTCAAGGGCAAGGCATGGGCAGGTTGGGGAGGGAATAACAGAAGGAGGGACAGGCTTGGGGAGGGGGCAGAGGGAGAATGGGCTGGCTGTGGTGGGGACAGACCAATAGAGGCAGGGAGGATGGGGGCATGAGGAATAATGCACAACTAATCTAAATTCTGCCATTTCTTAACTTTTAAGGGCTTGACTTTGCAACCTTAATATTTTGTCTGTATGTAACTTTCTAAGTTTTTAAAAAACAACAACCACCCTCTGAAATATCATGCGCACTTCATGTGCATTATCAGCAGGGTTGGAACCTTTAGATCCTTAGCATAGGTCTCTGCCACTTGAGTTAATGTCACTGGTAGCAGTAGTAAGTTGGTATCCTCTACGTGAACCAGCCATTATAGAGGGGGATGAGCGATACCATCTACTGGTGGGTTTCACAGCAATTGGCTGACAGCAAAGAAATGTTGGGACTGAGGCATCCTGGGTTCAACTTCAGGTTGTAAAAGGCCGTGTCCCTGTCCTCATGGCTCCTATCAGCCCCACCTTGTAGCAGGCCCCTTTCCATTCCAGCTTGTCCATGTGCTGCTCCTCCCCACTCTTCACCCCACTGCTTTAAAACAAGTTAGGATATTTCTTCCTTCTCCTCCATGCTACCTTTGTGCCAGTGTAACCCACACACCTCTTGGGTGTGGTGTTCTGTCCCATCTAGTGGCACCGAGACCATGTAGAAAGAGAGATAAATCAGTCTGCTCTGCAGCCTTAACTAAGAGCCAGTTGGCTTTTAGCTCATGCTGTAGAGGCTCATGCACTAAGCTCCAGAGGTCCCCAGTTTGATCCTGCCCGCCAATGACCGGGGTGTGTCTGTGTTACACCAGCGGGGGGTACTGAGCGTCTGCGAGAGACTGGGTATGTCTAAATGGCAGCTGGCAGGGTGCTTCCCAACAGGGGTGGACAGATCTGCACTAACTCCACAGCAGTGCGACCATGGCGGCCCAAGTATGTACCGAGGCGGTCAGTGTGATTGCACTCTGGTGGCTAGCCTGGGCTGCCATGGCCATGCTGCTGTTTTCAGCATGCTAGCTGGAGTAGCACGAGCACATCTGTGTGCCCATGCTAGGAAGCTGCTGTGTAGACATATGTCCAGTCTCCATGCTCTGAGTTCTCATCCGTAAGCCCGCACCTGCAGCAGCCAAGAGGAGCAGTTTCAGGAAAAGTCTCACTCCTACAGCCCTGGATGGAACATGCTCTGTCTGGTTAGCACGTGGGAACAGAGGGGCTAGAGCAATTTCAGTGCAGAGAGAACGTGGGGACAAGAGGGGTGCTTATTAAAGCTCTGCTGAGCATGTGCAAACTGCCCAAATTGGTCAAGCTGTAAGTCTGAAAATGGCAGATTTTCATGAGGCCAGCAAAGGGCACATCCCTGACCCCAGGGTCACCTCACCCAATCTTCAGTCCCTGTGCCACTGCAGCTTCTCAGCAAAACGGCTGTGAATGATTTTACAGAATATTTTCCCCGACCTTGTTCTCTGCAACAGCTGAACCATTTTTGCTAAAACTTGCCAAAAACGTGTCTGGAGGCAGACACTCAGCATAGGACATTCCAGCCCATTTGGGACATGTTGGGCAACCCAGCACAGCCAGCCCCACCTCTGATAATATTGTAGCAAAGCGGCAATGCCTGCTCTGGTCCTAAGGTGCATCAGGTTTTCCGTTCTAACCTCCTGTTTCCAGCCACTCACAACTTTCTGAAGCTTTCGCCTTCTGGTCTGAAAGTCTGAACAAAAACACCGGCAGTTTTTGAGGAAGAAGAAAGTGAAAGTACTTCACTTTTCCCAGGGCGGCAGCTACAACTGTGCAGCAATGCAATTCTCGGTCCATATTTTTAATGGAGTGTGTGTGTGTGTGTGTGTGTGTAAGGTGTTTGGTAAGAAAACCTTATACGTAGTAATGTTTACATTTTATATATACATATTGTTTTTGGTGGGGGGTTGGTTCGTTCATCCAGGCTACCGCTATGTGATTCTGGACATTCCTCTGTTGTTTGAGACCAACACAGTAACCAAGTTCATGAAACACACAGTGCTGGTTTACAGGTAAGTGCCACAGTGGGCCAAGGAAAGTGGGGAACGAGTGTCCTTTTGAAAGCCCTTGTTAATGCAGCCTTTTAGTTAAATGCAAGTAAGCAGGAATATGTTAAAACTCAGCAAATCAAGATACAGAGCCAACATTAAGAATTCAAGGGGTACTAACAGGGGGTGTGACCATACTCTGTTGGGAGGAAATCCTTCTGAGTCTCTCTCTCTCTCTCTCCATTTCCCCTCTTGCTTTTTGTTTCTTGTCTAATCAGAGTGTGAGCTGTTCAGAGCAGAGATGGTCTTGCTAGGTGTCTTTGCAGCCCCCAGCACAATGGGGCCCTGATCTCCAGTGGGGTCTTAGTGCTAGTAGGCTGTGGGGTGTAGTACAAGAATACTAAATAATAGTGCTAATTAATATGGACAAAAATCACTTTCTGTGGGACTCTCAGAACCATCTGGGGTAGAGGATCTGATGCACTCCCCCCAAGCTAGCTGGGGATGGTGCTGATGCCATGTTATCTGGTCGCCCTTTGTGTTGGGGGCGGTGCTGTATAATCTCCCGTTCTGGCAGTGGTGACCCCACGATGCAACGAAAGCTGGCTCAACTGGCTTTTAAGAAAAACCTGGTCAGTTCCTTGGATCCTGCTGGTTTTGCAGGTTCCTTATGAAAGGAGACATTTAACTGGGGAGGTTCTGGGTCACATGCCTTAGCTGAAGCACTCTCTGATTGGAGAGTGGGAAGGGATTGCTCCCCACCAGGTGTATTGGCTGGGATAGGGCTGAGGGGTCCTGTTCTCTGGAGCACTGTGCTCTGTGTCCTGTAATTGCAATGTGGAGGCATCGGGGGGGCCTCACTCCTTTCCAGATGCTTCTCTGAGGCTGTGTCTCATTCCCATCCCGGTAGTGATCCACAGACACAGCTGTCACGACTGATGAAGAGGAATGGCCTGGCCCAGACAGAGGCAGAAGCGCGCATCGCCTCCCAGCTGCCGCTTGATGAGAAGTGCAAATTAGCTGACCACGTGATTGACAACTCCGGGGACTGGGAGAGCACGCGGAGGCAGGTCCTGAGACTGCACTCTCAGCTGGAGGACTCTCTGGATTTCCTCTTGGTGCGCTTAGTGGCAGTCACAGCAGTTGCTGGAGTTGGTGGGCTGGTGTGCTTTCTCCTCAGGCATTTTCTCCCTTAATTCACTTTTTTTTTAAAGGGACCAAAACTGCCTGGAATTTCCAAGTTTGCAAAGGGCAGTGAAATGTCACGAGCCTTAATGGCTTTGCCGTCTGAATACAGACGACAAGATGAGCAGAGTCTCCTTGTTAACTTCTCAAGGTGAAGCATGGATTCCTTGCCAATGCTCTGACTCGGCTTCTTTCTTTTAACTTTTTAGTCCTGTTATTAATGGTCAGCAACTGCTGCAGGAGAGGGTGAGGGGTAGCTGTAATAGATGGAGGTCCTCAGACATTTGGATATGAAGTAATTACACTGTTAGGATGGACATATTAAAAACCATGTTTTAGGCCAACTCATTGAAGTGCTAGTCTACAGGGTGAAAGGAATCTTTCTGTCGATTTAACCCCAGATGGAATATGATTACTTAAAGTGTCTCGTGGCAGTCTGGTCCAGGAGAGGGGATCTGGACTATGAGGTTCTCTTCCCCCGACTTCCCAGCATCCTCAGCTCCCAAGAGCTCGCCCTAAATGATTCACTTTGACTCTAGACAAGTCATTTCACTTCTGTTTCCTGGTTGTGAGATTTAATGAATGTTTGCAAAGTACCTTAAACCCCACCAATGCAGGGCATTGTAAAATTGCAAGAGTTACTATAAAATGTCTGTCTCATGCCATCATTTTACAAGGTGCTTTGTTTTACCTATGGTTGCAATTTCCAGGCTTCAGAGACCTTACTGTAAGAAATACTATAATGTTACCTGTGAGTCAAGTGAGCAAAGCCACATAGCAAAGGGTGCAGTTAAAGCAGCCACATGTAAGCCTCAGGGTGCGGCAAGGCATGAGCATGCCTTTGCCTGTCTGAGACCTGTGTGTGCTTGATATAACTGCACTCTTCAATGGTGTGTTTAGCTTGGCCATTGCACTTGTTGTTGGCAGGAGAGACCACAGTGGCAGGAGCTCCTTCAGCTTCAGGGTTATAATAGAGCCTGTAGTTTTATGGCCTGAGCAGGAAAGTTCTCCCTGCCCCAAGTCTGTCCGTCCAGGTCTAGTGCAGGGCACATGAGAGGATTTGGTCCCTAATGCCACAAGAATTCCTAATCCTCCAGATCGAGACAGGCCTGGCAAATCAGCAGGGCATGGTTTACAAGCCCAGAGGATGTGTTGAACTGGGTTGGACCTTTAGACTGTGTCCTACCTTGTGGAGTGGCCAGTAGCTGACACCTCAGAAAATCTCTGTGCGCCCACCCACTTGTGCAGTTCTCTAATTTATTTTGGGGTCTTGCTACCTCACTCCCACAGTGATCCCTGAGGCAAAGGGTTCCTTACCCCTGTTTTAACATTGCCTCTTACCAGTATTGCAGTCCCACATTAGCTTCAGAGCATTTCCAGGATTTTCAGAGGAGAGACTGTGTGCCAAGGCTAGCCTAAAGACTAGTGACACTGCACAGCTCCTGGGTCAGTTCCTTGTCCCATGGGTTCTGTTTCCCAGCCTGTGTCTTTCTCAGGCACAAGGAGGTTGGTGCTGGTGACACAAAGTTGTGTGGGCAACACTGAGGAATCTTCATGGCGCCAACATGTCCAAGAGGGATCTAGGAGGTGCGACAAAAGCTGCTATGGTATGAAATGTATTCCTTAATATTTAACTCCACCTTTACCAAAGTTAACCAAGTAGCTCCAGAGCAGAGAAGTTGAGGCAAGAAGAAGTTGGGGTGGCTGGTATTTCTTTCAATAAGTGATAAAAAGCTGAACACCTGTAGTTCTTCATACAGGGAGTGCTATTGTTGCACATGCTGCCGTCTAGTCCCGTTTATCCCAGTGCATGGCTGTTCTATAAACCTGGCTGCTCCGAAGCAGAGCTTATAAACACAGTGTAATATGTTCCAGAACATGGCAATGTCTGTATGTGTAAAGGAGTTCGTTCAACAGGAGCGCTCCTCATGGCTAGGCGTGGTGTAGCAGCTCTCTCTCACTCTGGGTCCTCTGCCAACAGTCACTACGTTGCTCTCTTTGTAACTTGGCCCTCCAGCCAGGTCACAATTTTCATGTCTGTCCCTTTTGGGGTAACAAGGTTCAAACAGAAGTTCAATTAATAATTCCAAGACCTTGTGTCAGGTCTATGGCCCCTGACTCTGGGTCCAGTGGTCATCGTGTCCCTGCAGGCTTTGAATTATCCTTATTCCCTTATGTCAGGGGGCTTTATGCCACCTTTTCAGTGGCTGGTCGGGGAACTCAGGCCCTCTGTCTACACTGGGTTCCAGCCTACGGACCCTGTATCCAGCAGTCATGGTCTGCACCATCCACTCCTTGCTCCTGTTTATCTGGGCTTCTTCCTACCTAACCTTCTCAGGCTTTTCCCCCCACAACTCCTCTGGGTTGACCCTTCTTTCAGGTCAGACTAGATAATGATGGTCCCTTCTGGCCTTATAGACTGAGACCGGGACTCCAGGTTTTTATTCTCCCTCTTGGGTTCCCACCTCTGTTCCCCAAGAGTGACTGCAAACTCCCTCCCTGCAGCCAGCTTCTTTGTTTTTGTTGGCACAGCGCCTCATCCTGCGAGGTTGTCACTGCCACTTCCCTCATTCCTTTTTAGCCAGGTTTTTTTTTTTAAATAACCTTTCACTCAGTCTAGTCTCCTTAAGGAAACTCTGCAAGGCTTTCACTTGTACTACTCCATTTTTCTGACTTTCTTACTAGTCCCTTTAGGGAAAAATCTTTCAGTCCAAGTGTGACCAGGATCTTAGTGGGGAGCCAGCTATGGTCACTCGATTAGGGTGAACTGCAAAGAATGGGGCAGACAATCCCCATAAAGCTGATGGATATTCCAAAATTTAGATTTACCAAGCCAGCATAAAACAGCTTCTTTATTACCTCACTGATTACTCAGAAGTCCAAACACCGTTCCCTTAAAGTGATCCACCCTCAGGCCTCCATCCAGGTATCCATGTCAAATATGATGAAAATTTCTTTAAGTCTTATTTCATCATATAAAAGAAGAGGTTCCACCAATCCCAAAGGATCAGACACATCACCTCCCAGGTTATTGAATGTTTCAGATCTTACCTAAACACACGCTACAGCCAGTTCTTATTAATGAAACTAAAATTTATTAAAAAAACAAGAGAGTCTGGTTAAAAGATCAATATACAGACAGACATGAGTTCAGTCCATTGAGGTTCAGATTCATAGCAGAGATGGTGAGCTTTGTAGTTGCAAAGAGTTTCTTTAGAATTCAGTTCATAGGTTATAGTTCACTGTCCAAATCTCATATTCAGGGCGTACCAGCATAATTGGGACCTCAGTCTTGTGACTCAAACTTCCCCTGACGAAGCCTAAGCAGATCTGAGATGACAGAATCAGGACCCAAGGATCTTTTATCCAATTTCATGTCCTTTTTGACAAGTTGGAGTTCAAAATGTAATTAGGATGACTTTGAAGGAGGTCCATCACCAGTACTTAATTATAGAATTAACATAATGCAATTTGCTTGTTCCACCATTCACAGATTATTTGCTATACGTTTCAAAGAGAGATGAATACAGAGATATCCCGTGTTTACAATTATTTAAATGATAGGATGTTCTTTTGACCTCTGAAGTATCAGAATACAGCATAGACAGGAACTGTTGGTTACATTGTCCACCCTACTCATACATATGTAAATACACAAAAACACAAACATCTCCCCACATGTCTTTTGAGGGTTATTTATTTTGCAGGATGTTTAACCCTTTCTAGTCACCCCAAACTGGCTCAATTTTTCATAAAGAAACTTTCTCCATAGAATATTACCCACAATGCTAGAGAACATGAGAAACTGTTTCTTTGGTTTTGCACACATTACACTGCCCATCTTTGTCTTTTTAATAAGTTTTACATCTCATGTAAGGCACAATGACATGTTAGCACTCTAAGAATGACTACATCACTTTTTCTGTCATGACTGGAGAGTATATATTCGATTTTGGACCATATATCATAAAACATTCATCCTTTTGTTCCCTTGGTGTGTAGTTCTTGCCCTTCCTTTGCAAGCTCCACTGTGCAAGTTGCCACATTCTAAAATTCTTGTCCATGTAAGGCTATTGTAATATCCACCTAATTTTTTAGGGCTTGTTTTGCTGCTTTGTGAGCCGTCTCATGTCCAGGTGTTCTGATGTACACTACAATCCATCTTACTGTTACACAGATACCTGTTTGCATTATTTCTGTAAGTATGCATATTATTTCACTTCTTATGTCATTTCTGCTTTCCAGAGTCCCTATTCTGATTGCAGTAATGCCTCAAGTAAATCGATCATATTACTGCTATGGCCAGTCACATCTCTCTTACCCAGGTTAGTGCTAACATTAGCCCCATTAGTTCAGCCATCAGAATGGTCACACAATTCAATAGCCTTTTAGATTTCCGCATTCCAAGACTAGGAACACGGAAGGCTGTTCCCACTCTGCTTGTGCTGCCATCTTTTGATCCATCTTTGTAGACTGGACAAAGCTGGCCGGATTTGTCATAACTAAATTCAGATACTTCTTTAGTCACAATGTGTGGTTTTATCCTTCCCTCAGCTTTTGTCATACAGTTCCAAATCCACAAATGGGGGAATAACTGTCCCTCTGTAATTTTTAGTGTTCTCAGGTTTTCTTTTCTACATGTCTCCTTTACCCTTTTTCTGACCCTGATTGGATGAGGAAGTCTGTCGCAATCCATATAGTTTTGTCTACTAAGCTCCCAGCAATCCTCAAGTGTTTTATTTACTTCTGTTTTCGTGATTCCCTTTTACCTTTGCCCAAAAGGTTAGATCTAATAGTTTCATCCTTTGGTTTATCGGTGCTTCTCCAGTGGCTACTTATTGTTCACACAACTGATGGTGGTGTTATTGCATTACATCCAAGCTGCAGAGTGTGGGTCTGGAGCAGTTCCAAGTTTCTAAGAGTTGTTTTTGAGGCTGTACAAAAAAGCTTGGCATCCAGAGTCTAAAACTGGTTTTCTCAGTGCTCTGTACATTCTCATCAGTACCTTCGTATCTGCACCTCATTTGTTTTCAGCTACACTTCTAAGTAAGTTTATCCTACTTTTACACTTTTGTATGCTATTATGTGTGTGACCTTTCCAAGCTAATTTATTATCAAACACTACTCCTAGTAACAAACTTTGGAACTATCTGAATTTTTTTTCATCATAAAGAAACAAGTTCCAGTCTTCCCTAATTTTCCTCCTGGTTAAAAGCATTCCCTTAGTTTTAGCAAGTTAGAATTTAAATACCCAATCATTTCCCTTCTTGGACAAATGAGACACACTCCAGAGAATTTCCTTTTCTCTAGCTACTTTGTCATTTCTCCGTAGTCCGTGTAGTGTAGGTGTCTACAAAAAGGGAAATACCTTTTTCTGTCTGAACGCTTTCTGGAGGTCATTTATCATAATGGAAAACAAAGTAGGGCTGTTAATAGTCCCTTGCAGAATTCCATTTGTAAGCTTGTAGATTTCGGATAAAGCCGTTCCCCCTTTGATAGAATTCTGCCTTATCGACCCATGTCGGTCCCAGGGTATTAGAGAGACAAGGTGGGTGAGGTAACATCTTTTATTGGACCAACTTCTGTTGGTGAGAGAGACAAGCTTGGCTCAAAAGTTGGTCTAATAGAACAGATTCCGTCACCTTCCTAATCTCCCTTATCTACCCAA